TAGTCTTATCCCAGTCTCTCTCTCTCTTGCTCTGTAAAGTCCGTCTGCTCTACCCCTTGTCCACCTATTTCACTCGACTTCTGCCACCACATCTGTCCTACTCGAGGCGTTATTCGCTCTCCCCTTTGTCTTGGTGACTAGTTCGAGGCGCAATCCTCTAAGTGTTATGGTCATCCCTTTGCTACATGTACCACGTGTCTGGTACAACAGACCTACGGTCAGTCAAATAGCTCCCATCCCCGCCGTCTCTATCCTGTTTCTATCCCAAATACCAAGTCTATGATTTGAAATGCCCTAGTCTCTTGTATGCCGACCCAAAAATGTTGTGGTACTGCTTACTTTGATTAGGGTCAATGTTGAACAGCAACATTTGTGGGTTGGCAGACCAGAGACCAGGGCATAGGAAGTAATAGGCCTGGTATTAAAAATAGAAAGAGGATATAATCAGTGGAAGCTAGAGCTGGTTGGCTAACAATAGTCGTGATTCAAAGGCCATGTTTATGATCAAACACGTCTATTGTTGGTCAAATAGCTTTAGTCTCCACCGCGTCTTTCCTGTTTCTATCTGTAATAACATGACTATCACTTTCTATGTAATGAAGAAAATGTTCTTAGTGATATCCTGATGGATTTTGTCAACATGTTCATGTGCGGGAATAATCCTTAATTTTCAGTCTCATCATAAGTATAGGCTGAAGATAGAAATATTGAGGAGTTTGATCATCAGAAGTTTACGTCTAACAGACAATGAGTTCTCGGACGAGGATTTGGATAAGCTGACACGGATTTGCCTTACTAACGAATACCCCAGAGCATTTATAGACAAAAATGTATAGGTTATCAAGGGCTGATTTCAACTTGGATTTTATGAAAATCAGATCAGGAATGAGGATGACAACCAAAAGTAGATTTGCTTGCCCTCATCAGAACTGAGCCAACAATTGCGACCGTTACTAATGAAATGGAATATCAGGATGATAATATAGGAGAAGAAAAGTCTGCCGACGAAACACAGGAAGATTGACTAACCTGATTGCTCGCGAGTTTATCGCTTCAAATGCGGCAACTGTGAGCAGAACTATATTGGTGAAACAGGAAAAAAATCGGTCTACGAATCAAGGAACATCAAAGAATCTGCAAGAAGATAGATACGAAGAGATCCGAAATAGTGGAACACATTGCACGGACGGGGCATAAAATAAACTGGAAATCGTCCAATGGGTTGGCTAGATATGGTGAAAATACGAAAAAACGCAAGATCCGAGAAGCCATCAAAATACTGACTGAGATAAATCTAATAAACAAGAGACTTGTAGAAGGCAGGATCAGCGAAAACTTTGCATATTGCCTAAATATACTAAGAGAAGACCAGGCAACAGGAAGATCAGCATAAAGAAGACGACTGGAACAAGGTAATATCCTTAATTTTTAGGAAAAGAGATCACAATGTGATAAGAAAGGAAGAATCAGAAGCAAAGAGGATACGTCTTGAGTGAGCCTTGCCAAAAAAGCAGAACCACGGCATTTGTCGGTTGGCACACAAGAGTTAAGGACATAAGAAGTGATAGTCATGGTATTATAGATAGAAACTCGAAATACGAGGTGGAGACAAAACCGTTTGGCTAACAATAGTCGTGTTTGATCTTAAACGTGTTGCCTGAATCACGACTATTGTTAGCCAACCAGCTCTAGCTTCCACTGTTTCTATCCTCTTTCTATCTATAATATCAAGCATTTTACTTCCTATGTCCTAGTCTCTTGTGTGCCAACACACAAATTTTGTGGTTCGACATTGAACTTAATCAAAGTAAACAGTACCACAACATTTGTGGGTCGGCACACAAGAGACTAGGGCATTGCAAATCATAGACTTGGTATGTCCTTTTTGTTTAAATAGCCTCATGCACAAATTTTTATTTTTGGGGTAAATACTCATTTCATGCATAGCGATCCGATCAACTTTGCATGTCTGTTTTTCAAGTCTATTAGGAATCATCTTAAATGCTTCTATTTATACACAAATCATAAGCCTGCTCGTTTGAGGGGCCGTTAGAAATCATTGTGTTCTCATTATCTAGACCATTTATTTTGAGGTATTTTCAGACTATTTCTCATGTTCTTGTCCTTAATCCACTTAACCATTAATCCTGTATGTTTAAGTAAATGACGAGGTTTCCTTACTCTTCACTATTGTGGTGAGTATACTTTGGAGATATTTCTACTGTGACTTTATGGATGAATTGTAATGTATCGCCATTTGGTACGCACGATCCGGTTTGGGTGGATTATTTCGAAAGCGCTAATTATACATAGGCGAGATTTAAACTGCACTCCACTTTAGATAAAATAGACTTTTGGAAGTCAAGATTATGTGAAAAACAATTAAATCTTGAGGCATAATGATCTTTTACATCATGTGAAGAAAGGCGATGAAAGTTCTTAATATAATTATGCTCATCTTTAATAAAAAATCAACACTACGGCAATTATTGCGCTAAACCGCATCACATAACTGGGACCCCTGAACTAAAGTGAACTTTGAATTTTACGAGTATTCTCTGGGATTAGTTGAATTTAATGGTCCTTATAGGAACCACTGTCGGTGTATTAATGGTGTTGCTCCCTTCTGCTTTTAGATAAAAGATTAGCCCTAGATAGTAGAGTATTGTGGTGTTTAGTTCTCACTATGGGTTGTTAGGCCGATGTCTAATTAACCCCAGCTTTAGGGTAATTTTGTAATTACTTATGATCGACTTGACTCCCAACTGAATTGATCTCATTGTAACAATAGCCCTGGCCTCACCATTTCATTTTGTCCACATATATTTTCAATCAGAATGGCTCTCCCACTTCGGATCAGAGTCAAGCCGTTTTCATCGCCTCCTCCAACCTGTTTTATTGTACCCGGTTGCCAGTATTTTACTTCTCGTTGCTCTACCAATGAGCATCTTATTCTGTATTATAGTTCTGGTGGTCCGCAAATGGCGTCAAAACCATCCCAACGTCTTGTCGAGTTGGTTCAATTGCTACAAGGTCGCTGACTATACGGAATGAGAAGTAAATTTTTGCGACGCCTACAGTGATGGTGGCAAAGATGACCACTTGGGCAGTGGTTTATCCAACAAATTATTAGGCAGTCGTATCAAGGGTCGCTTTATCAATAAAAGTCAAAAACGTAGGAGAGTTGTGCTGAAAAAACCAAATGTGCTCTACATCAAACGTCTGACTGCTTGAGGTCCCGCAAATGAGACGAATGTAATACGTAGCGAGGCCGTAGACACGGCACTTCCAGTGGTGCCAAATGATACAAGTCAACATCTTCAGGCCTCAGTCCCACCTAGTCGCCAGCTTCGCCAGTCATCCTCCATGTTGATGACGTCTTCCGACCCTTTGGCTTTTTCCTCTCCAGCTAATTGGATATCTGCGCATTCCTCTGTTGCAGCATATACCTTAAGGGAGGCAAGGACCGTGCAAGCCCAGAAATTCGATAAGGGTCCATGCATAACAGAGTCGAAGGCAGGTTGCCACTTTATGTTAACCTTTATTTTTATACGTCTTTTTTATATTGGTACAATCATTCCATATTAAGTCATGTTTCTAGTATGATTTTTTATTAGTTGCCTTGATTTAGTCGTAAAAGATTTATTAAAAGCCATATTCACAGACGTTTTGCCGCCATCGTTAGTGGGAGGCGCCAACCCTAACGTAGAGTTACGACATATCAAAGTGAAATGTGAAGAGGCAACCCCTTGACCAACCCTTTCTGTTCAAAACTTGTGGCATCACCCTTCGCTCGTAGTCTTTGTCCTACCGTTAGTGCTGCATATATTTCTCTCAAGCCCACTTTATATCATATCTTAACCTATTCACGCCATTTTGTAGTCTCATATCCCACAACGTCACCTAAGAGTGTGTTGCCGGTAAAAGTGGATTTAGTGAAGCGTAATCATCTTCACCACCAGTTTCAGATTCCGTTTGCAGGGCTTCTGACTTATTTAGCCTCCTCTTTCACCCCGCTTGTTAACTGGTCC